CAGCTGTTTTCTATGGCATCAATAAAATACATTCTTTCAAAGGTTAGACTTTAAAAATATGAAATGACATGGAAATTTTATTTTCTAATCACTTTTTGATGTTCTACATATTCCTGTATTTGTATGTATGTGTCTTATCTTAATTAGGAACATTTTTCTTCTATAATTTTATTGCAGGTCTGATCCTTGCCATTGGCTTGAGATTCTTCATCCTCAGCTGTGCTTATAAATTTGAAAGTTTGTTGTTTTCATGGTGCCTTACATATACAAGAATTTCTAGGAATGCACTCTATCAATGATTTACATCTTCAGCCCTACATCCCACTTTTTACTCATAACTCAGTCATATCACCTCATGACTATGTCTTCATGACTGTATCCTCTGTAAGAAAGATTACTTTTCCTAAGTGTGTTTGGAGGAACAAACTTTTTTTAAAAATTCTAACAAAACTGCTGTTAATTTTTAGGTGAGATCCTGAAGCTACTGTCAAATAAGTGTGGAGGTTATCAGGGATGTTTTTGGAAGCAGGAAGGATACCTTGGGGAATGAAATTGTTTTTCTACTTCTTTGAAATGGAATATTATTATCATTGCTTTTCTTTTATTCACAAGGACTGGGATCAGCTAATCCACACAAAAAGATGTGGCCTGGGGAGAATTGCTCACACACAGGAAACCCAGAGCTCAGCTGTTCCTTCTTTACTGTTGTCCTGGAGTAAGGAAAGTTCACTCTTCCATTTGATAGTACAACTTTCCAACAAGCTCAAGGTCAGAACTGTCCTCTACAGGTGACATGATAATTATGGGTATACAGGGAGATGAGATGATGACATTTCTTCCTTATAACTGCTTCTTAGGGCCTTGTTCAACATGAATGTTGATCAAAGGCCTGGGCAGGTGAGTGTTTGCTTTCTACTCATTAATATCGAGAGCTGTAAGTGTAGATGAAGGAGGATTTTCTGTACTTAAATGACTAGAGAATTCTCTGCTTAGAATTTTTCCTTTTGAACCTTACTGTATCATATCCAAGTATAACAGATGCTTGTAGACATGAAGATATCAGTGTAAGCATTTTATAAAGAACATAGATTTAATTGTTATGATCTCTGAATATAATGAATGTGACCCTAGAAAGGGGCTAGTGAGAAGAGCGCAGAAGTATAGACAGAGACAGAAAGGGCTGATGGGATGAAGATAATCAATGGGTGTTATATACTGAATGAAAATGCCATGAAACACATCATGCTTTACAATGAATGTACACTAATACATACATAAAAGTGGCCACAAATGGAATATTTTAATGAGCATATCTGATTATGGAGTTTCCTGAGTGTCTATTACTATAATTCTAAGAATATAACTCCACCTAGGTAATGCCAACTGTATTAGTTTTCCATTCCTGTCACAAAACACCAAAAATGACTAAGAGGGTGAAAAACAAAGAACATTTATTGGTTTGCAGGAGTATATTTATAATATTAAGATGTATTTAAATTGTATTTTCTATTTTCTCAGTTTACTGCTTTTCTCAAGTTAGCTGAGTGTATGCATTGATTTGTGTGAGAAAAGCTACAAATATACCATGAATATTAACTAATTTAGTGTTTATCAGTAATTTTCTATTCTGTTTAGTTTGCATACATGTAGGATTTTTTCAGGAAAGTTTCAACTCATGGTTAGTTCCACATAAGATGTTCTTAATATTATACAGTGAGTTTTAAAATTTTTTAACATAGATTTGCTTATTCTATGGCAATGATTTCTAACAAAAATCTATGTTTTCTTTTTACTTCAGAAGTATCCAAATACCTAATCTCACTTATTTATGAAACCTTTGTAAATGTATCCTTACCAAAGTGTAAACTGTGAAATATTAATAACAGTTTCAATGTTTAAATTAAAATAAATTCAGACTAAATATTTCTAGTTTTCTAAATTGAATCTTGTAACATTTATATTAACATTGAGTAAGCTTTCCATGAGCTATGAGAAATAGTATAAGATTATTTAAAGTCAAAATTCCCATCATTTCCTCTAATAGTTACAAAATACAATAGCTCATTAAGATATGCATTTACAAAGCATGCCAAGTAAATTTAAATTTAACTGCTGGATGTTCATGTTTATTTTTCTGCAATATCACTTACTAATGTATACAGGAAATTAAATGGAAAGAGAAGGCAGGTGTGGTGGTACACGCCTGTGATCCCAGCACTCTGGAGACTAAGGCAGGAGCATTGTGATTTTGACTGAGGCCAGTCTGAACTATAAGGTTGAGACCCTCTCTCTCTGTCTCTCTGTCTCTCTGTCTCTGTCTCTCTCTGTCTCTCTCTGTCTCTGTCACTCTGTCTCTCTCTCTCTCTCTCTGTGTCTCTCTCTCACACACACACACACACCAGCAAAATTATAAGTGGCAAACAGAAAATGTAGAATTATGAAATCATTGTTTTTTAAAAAGTGGAATCAGTCAGGCAGTGGTCACACACGCCTTTAATTCCTAAACTCGGGAGGCAGAGGAAGGCAGATCTCTGTGAGTTCGAGACCATCCTGGTCTACAAGAACTAGTTCCAGGGCAGCCTCCAAAGCCACAGAGAAACCCTGTCTTGAAAAAATTTGGAATAAAATGATTCCAGGAAATGTCAGTGAACATAGAACAACCACACCACAAAAACCAAATGATGGAAGCATGGCTTATGTTTGCAAGCATTACAGAATGTTCAGTTTGTTTTGAGTAATTCACATTAAAAGTCTGCATTGGTAATGAGGCAGGACCCTCATGGATCTGATCAAGTGAACTGAAAAACAGAGGACATACACTCCATTTTCTTTATGGTTCAATTTATTTCATGAAAATATTTGAAGTAACTCAGTTTTTCACTCAAGTGCTGTATATATATTTATATTAACAGCCCCAGTAAACAATATGCTATTGATCTATTTTCAGCCCTGGTAGTCATTTTACACACACACACACACACACACACACACACACACACACACACACACACACACTTCCAGTGAACATTTTCATATTTTTCCCAGACTCAAATGCCATGTGCCGAGTGATCAAGCTCAAGTCTGACTGCTTCCCCACAGTCTCAGCAGCGACAGACACTTCTGCTGCTGCTGCTGCTTCGTCTCAGGGGAGCAGGCTCATAACTATGAGATTGTAATTTTCCAGTCAGTGTCTGTGTGCTGCCAGTTGCACCTGGGCTAAACTCAATTTCCAAAGAATCATTTATAGATTAAAAATATTTAAGAGTATCAGGAAATTACTATGAATTGATACCTTAAATAAATAATCACTATTTCTTCTGTTGGCATTATGCATTTCATAAAGACTTCATGGAACTAATTTGAGTGGCTAAGGTCTTCATTTTCTTGAGATTCCTGAAGACTTGCTAATGTTGCTGACAGTGGAGAGTACCTCAGCCCACACCATGTATCTGATCACCTGACAGTCACATAATCATTTCATGTTCTCCCTGAGCGGTCACACTGCTTTTTGGTCATTACTCACTAATGGCGTAAAACTTAAAAATTAAAATGATAATTGATCTAATATGTTTGTATGTTTATCATATTATCTCCTCAAAGCAGAATAAAAAGACCATCATAAATTCATAAGTCAAGGCTGTTCTAAAATCAAATGCTATGATAGCAAAGGGGTAAAGTGATTTTTCTCAGAAGAGTGTTGAGCCATGCACGAAGCAGCTCCTGCTTTCCTTTTGGTAGAACTTTCTAAACTGCTGCCTGCAGACAGCTTAGCCTTTGGGTCTGGGTCAGTTCAGTAGTGATGGCTTATCCACTTTTATGAATGTTTATGGGTAATCTCAGGTTTTAGTACTTCCAACTTAATTTTACAACTTAAACTACTGTAAAAGCAGAAACAGTAACAGCCTTCATTTCCAGTGTCTGCTTTGAATGTATTCTAGTGCTTTTACGTCAGCTCAAGCAGCTCTGACCTTCATACTCCTACAGACTACAAGGTGTGTATACAGTTAGTGCATTTCCAGCCTGGCGCAGAGGGTCTAAGACTTTATCTCTGATATTTTCTTATTCTATGACTTCCTGGCTAGCATTAAATTAGGATAGATCTTTTGAATCTTCTATTATGGAACTGTCAGAGGCATCAATTAAAAAGGTCTGATACATGCTTAAAATTTAAATTAAAATAAACCCATTGGATTGGCATGCACAAGAGTAACTCCAGCACTCAAGAGGCAGAAGCAGAAGGAACATAAGTTTGAGAACATTCTGGGCTACATAGCAGGGTCAAGGCCAGCATCAGCTACATAGTGAGGTCCTGTCTTAAAAGCATAAACACAAAACAAACAAGCAAGCAATAAGAACTTCAGGCTACGCCTTAGTTTTAGAGCGCTTTCTTGGAATGTGCAGAATACTTCGACTGACCCCAGTGTTGCATATTTCTTTCAAATAAAACAAATGACTTTTTTCAGTTCATGTATATGTGAACACCTAAGCTTGTAACCATGGTAGCTATGGAAATTCTGGTCCAGTATCACCTCCAGTGAACCTAAGAGAAAGTTGCTGCTTGATAAATCAGAAGATGAGTCATTTTCTGCATGTGATAAACAGTTACAAAGCTATGGGTATGAAATGAAGAGGGTGGAGTGTATATCTTTGGGATAAGTAAAAACATTGTAGATAAGTATCTTCTACCTGATTATGTTATTTTTTGTATGACTTATAATATATGTGATATATAATAAATTGTAGATTATTAAGAGATTAATAATTATTTGTTAATAGTTATCTGTTAATAATAAATGGCTATACATATATGGCTTGTCTATTTGCAATTATAAAGTTGAGACCAACACTTGAATTAAGTGTTATCCTGGGGCATTTATTTATTAAAGATTTTGTCCATCTGTGATATGAGAATTTATGCCCCTTCTTATTGTATCTTGTTAGACCATGGTGGGTAAGTATCCCTGAAAGACTTTCTCTGGTATTTGCTTTTTGTTTTGAAGGGAAACAGAGAAGGAGTTGATCTGGAAGAGACCAGAGGTGGAGGGAGGTACTGGAAAGAGAGAAGGGAATGAAGGAGGGGAAACTGCATCCCAGATGTAATGTAAAGAAGAATAAAAGTTAAAAAGGATTTATTTTATTTTACGTATGTGAGTGTTTTGCCTGCATATATGTCTGTGTGCCATTTTCATGCTTGGATCAGAGAGGGCAATGGAGCCTCAGGAACTAGAGATACAGATGGTTCTGAGCCACCATGTCACTGATGGGAATCTAACTCAGGTCCTTTGAAAGAGTAAAACGTGCTGTTATCCACTGAGGTACCTCAGTGGATAAAATAGGTAAAATAGCAATATGGATAGCTGGAAAAACTATAAGGTATCATACCATTAAACATTTACCCACCCCCCAGCAAGGAAAAATGGTGTTTGTCCTGGTAGCAGGTTCTTTAAACCTGAGGTGGAGTTCACAAAAGTTTTAAATGGGATGGGAAGTAAATAATGAGACATCTAGGACAATTTGTAACCACAATGGTAATATAGTTAATAGGGTGTGGAAAGTGTAGTAATGACCTCCTATTGTATCTCTGTCTTTAATTCCACATCCTGAGAATGTAAGATTTCATGGAAAAGGGAACATAAAAACAGATGAAATGAGATAGACATTTTTGGGGATTAAAATAGTGGGATTATCATGAAATTTCACTGTGATTCAAATAAAATTATGAGTCAAAACATGGATAGTTGCAAAATATAGCTTAGTAAACTTATGAAATGAGTCTGACAAACCTTGTGATTTTGGATTTGTTGTGTGATTTTTCCAAGATCAACATAATTTTCATTCAATTGTAAAACTGTGATTAATATTCTGTATTTTTCACTACTGTTTTAGGTATTAATTATAAAATTAGGCAATGTAAATCAGTAGGATTGGATTTCTAAGGCATGATGCCTTGGTGCAATACAGGCACACAAAGTGTGCATTCTCTATAGAATCTGACTGTAAATAACTTTACTGTCTCTCCTATGCTATATATACAGATAGATACATAGTGAAGTGTATAGAAATGGAGGCTATGATATTCAGTCTGGAATATCAAAATTTAAAGATACAGGTTAATCAAAAATGACTAGATAAAACAGAATGATGTTTTAGACATACTGACCAGTGAACCACAAGTTTGACGTGTACTCTATTGTTTTTCTAGATATGTGAAATATGCTTCCATTATGATGTTGAGATGAATACACTTTCCATGTATGTCCTCATTGAAGAATGTCCTTTATTTCCAAGCTGGACTTGGAGTCCTGGCCAATATGTTTCTCCTTTTTTTCTACACTTCCATAATTCTAGGTCATAAATCTAAGCCCATGGACATGATCTCCTTTCAACTGACCTTCATCCACATAGTACTAGTCCTCAGTGGAGGGGATATTGGTCTTACAGACATATTTGAGTCACTGAACATTGAGAATGACTTCAAATGTAAGACAACTTTTTACATAAACAGGGTGATGAGAGGCCTGTCTGTCTGTATCACCTGCCTCCTGAGTGTGTTCCAGGCTGTCACTATCAGTCCCAGCACCTCTTTGCTGGCAAAGTTTAAACATAAACTAAAAAGACACATGATCTATGTTTTCTTCTACCTTTGGTCTTTCAACTTGTCATTCAGTAGTAGGTGGATCTTCTATGTTGGGGCTTTTACCAATGTGAGTGAGACCAACCAGATGAAGGTCACCAAAACCTGCTCACTCTTCCCCATGAATTACATCACCAGGGCACTGATTTTAACAGTGACAACCTCCAGAGATGTATTTCTTGTAGGAGTTATGCTGATCACAAGCGCATACATGGTGATCATCTTGTTCAGACATCAGAAGCAATGCAAACATCTTCACAGCCTTAGCCACCTGAGGGCGTCCCCTGAGAAAAGGGCCACCCAGACCATCTTGATGCTGGTGGTTGTCTTTGTGGTCATGTACTGGGTGGACTTCATCATCTCATGCACTGCAGTCCTGTTATTGGTGTACCACCCAGTCATCCTGACTGTTCAGAAGTTTGTGATGAATGCCTATCCCACAATTGCTCCTTTGGTACAAATCAGTTCTGATAACAGAATAATCAATATGCTGACAACCTTGTGGTCAAAATGCCACAAGACTTTTTTAAAAGGGTAAATTTTCTCTTCCTTTAAAAAACCAATTGATTAGCCAGGCAGTAGTGGAGCACACCTTTTTTTTTTTCCAGCACTTGGAAGGCAGAGGCAGGTGGACTTGAATTTGAGACAGCCTGGTGTACAGAGTGAATTCCAGGACAGGCTCCACAGTGACAGAGAAACCCTGTCTCAAAAAACAAAAAACAAACAAAAAAACCCAACTTATTTATTTTGATTTCTGTGAATGAGTGTTGTGCCAGCCTGTGTGCATGTGTGCATTCCTGGCTCCCACAGAGGCTAGAGGAGGTCACAGAATCCCCTGGAACTGGACATATAGATGGTTGTAGGGAGTCATGCTGGTACAGCACCAATAAGTTTTTCCCTAAAAACAGATTCTCCTTAAACTGTTTAATAGTTCAAGTAGCAAAGCGAGATTCTTCATAGGATTGAAATAAAATTTTCTTGCATCACCCATATACATTCTTGTCACATTTCTGATGCCAAGTACTATAGAGTCCTTTAAGTTCACTGTACACCATAAGTTGATATTTCCACAGGAATTCTCATACTCTCTTCTTTTTACTTTATATTGTAAATGTCCCCTTGATGCTGAGGTTACTGATATAGACCATATCCTAAAATACAAAACAAATCTTTATAAATTCAAAAAGATTGAAATCACTCCTTGTATCCTATTTGACCACAATGCCATAAACCTTGAAATTGGCAGCATATAAATCTCTAGTAAATATACCAACTCATGGAGAATAAACAACTCACTACCAAATGATGACTGGGTTAAAGTAGAAATCAAGAACGAAATAAAAACTTCCTAGAACTAAATTAAGGACAGGAAAATCTCTGGGACAAATAAAAAGTCCTATGAAGGAAATTTATACCTCTAAGTGTCTACATTAAAGAACCAGAAAGAGCACTAATAAATTGCTTCATGATGCAACTCAAAAATTTAAGAAAATAAGAACAAATCAAAACCAAATCTAGTAGAAAGTCACAAATAATGAAAGAGAGAGCAGAAATCAATGAGATAGAATAAAAGTTAATATAAAGAATCAACAAATATAAGAGCTGGTTCTTTAAGAAGATAAACAATATTAAACAGATTCTTATACCAAGTAATCAAAATAATTAGAGGACCCAAATTATCAGAATCAGAAGTGAACAAGGAAATGTTACAACTGGCCAGAGAAATTAAAATATAAGCGGATATTTTTAAAACTTGTAATCTGTTAAACTGGAAAACCTGAAAGATATAGATGAATTTCTAGATTCAGCCAAACCATAATCATTGAATCAAGAAGTCAACAACAAAACAAGACAATAACAAATGAAATTTAAATAGTAATAAAAAGTCTTCCAACTAAAGAAAACTTCCAGGGCCAGATGTATTCAAACCAGGATTCTAATAGACTTTCAAAAAAGATCTAGAGCTGCACGTTGGTGGCGCATGCCTATTAATCCCAGCACTTGGGAGGCAGAGGCAGATGGATCTCTGTGATTTTGAGGCCAGCCTGGTCTACAGAGAAATGGCCAGAATAGGCTCCAAAGCTACATAGAGGAACCCTGTCTCGAAAAAAACAAATAAAAATAAATGTAAAAATAAAAAAGAAAGAAAAGAAACAGAAACAAACTCCTTCTATAAAGCTAGTGTCACTCTGATACCAAAACCCAATAAACATACAACAACAAAAGGAAAACTCCAGGCCAATAGTCAAACAAAGACTCAAAATTGCTCAATAAAATACTTGTAAACTAGATATAAACATGCTTAAATATTATAGACCATTACCAACTTGGCTTTATACTTGCAATGTGTGATGGTTCATCATCCACAACTCTTTAAATGTAATAAATCACAATAGTGGATTTAAAAACAGAATCATATAGTCATCATAGATACAGAAAATAGATGCAATAAATAGATGTAGAAAAAGTCTTTGACAAAATCCAATCATGAGTTCATGATGAAAGTCCTAGAAAATATAGGGCTAGAGGGAATATATCTTAATATAATAAAAGCTACTGTGATACCACCAAGGGCTCCTGCATTTATATATTTAGTCCTTAGTGAGTGTAACTCTTTGGGAAGGATTAGGAGGTGTGGCTTTGTTGGAAGAGCTGTCACTGGGGATGGGCCTTAGGTTTCAAAAGTCCATACCAGGTATAGTCTGGTTCCTCTCCTCTCTCCTAACCTCCTCTCCCCTCCCCTCCTCTTGTCCCTCATCTCCTCCCCTTCCTTCTCCCCTCCCTTCTCTCCTCCCTTCCTCTCTTCTCTTCTCCTTTCTTCTCTTCTCTCCTCTTCTCCCTTTTTTCTTAACTCTGCCGCTCCCCCTCCCCACTGTTTCTTGTGAATAAGGGTGTAAAGCTCTCAGTTAAATACTGTCTTTTATAAGAGTTGACTTGGTCATGGTGTCTCTTCACAGCAATAGATCATTGACTAAGACAGCAATATAAAAACTCACATCCAACATCATTCAGCCTAAATGGAAAAAAGTTTGAGGCAATCTCACTGAAGTCCAGAATGAGGAAGAATGTCTGCTATTCACACTTCCTTTCTATATTGTGCTTAGAGAACTAGCTAGGGGAAAAGAAAAGGAAGAGGAATTAAAGGGATACAAATAGGAAAAGAAACTCAACTATCTTTATTTGCAGATGATATGATACTATACATTAATGACCCAAAATTTCTCAGAAATATTCTAGACATAATAAACAAATTTGTCAGTGTGACCACATACAGAACCAATTTGGACAAATCCATAGCTCTTGTTTACACCAACAGCAGGGACGTAGATCATGGACACACACCCATTTACAATATTAGGAACACTAGGGCTAACCGTAGCCCTTTAAAACTCTGAAAAATGAGATAGAAAAAGACAGTAGAAAATAGAAAGATATCCCATGCTCATGGATCCATAGAATTAATATTGCAACAATGAACATTTTCTTTTTCAAAATCTGTTTTACAGATTTAATGCAATCCCAGTCAAAATACTCATCTCATTCTTACAGAAATAGACAAAACTTTCCCAAGATTCTTACAGAACCACAAAAGACCTGACATAGCTAAAACAATCCCAAACAAAAAGAACAGTGCAGGTAGATTACCATTTCAAAGCCTCAGTAATAAAAACCACCATGGTAACAGCACAAAAACAGACATGTAGACCCATGGAGCAAAATTAAAAACCCAAACATGACTGTACATATTCAGCCATTTAGTATTTGTCAAATATGCCAAAAACATATGCCGGAGAAAAGAGCATCTTGAACAAATGGCGCTGGAAACTTGATGTCCAAAAACAAAAACAAAACAAAACAAAAAAACAAACCCAAAATAAAAACAAACAACCCATTCCAAAATCAAGCTGGGGAACTGAACAGAGACTTCTAAAAAAAAGACAAAAGAAAGAAAAAAGTAGCTAAGAAGTATTTAGACTGAAGTTTCTGTCCCACCCAGTCCCACAGCTGTTTAGTCCCAAATAAACACACAGAGGCTTATATTAATTATAAACTGTTTGGTCGATGGCACAGGCTTCTTATTGGCTATCTCTCTCTTAATCATTGACCCATTCCTATTAATCTGTGTATCTCCACATGGTCTTGGCTTACCGGTGATGCCCGGATCTCTTGCTTCCTCGGTAGCTGCGTAGCATCTTGTCTCCCCCTTTTCTCTTCCCAGAGTTCTCCTAGTCTGGGAGCCCCACCTATACTTTTTGCCTGGCTACTGGCCATTCAAAATTTTACTAAACCAATATGACAAATCTTTACAATGAGTAAGAACATTATCCCAAATTAGAAATTCCTAAAAAAAAAAAGTTCATCCCTAGCAATTAGCTGTGAGATTTCATCTTACCTAACTCAGAATGGTAAAGAACAACAAGACAACTGACAAGAAATGCTGGAGAGGATGTGGGGAAAACAGGACCCTCATTCACTGCTGGTGGTACTGCAAACTGGAACATGCAGAACAGAAATTGGTGTGAATTCTCAAAAAGCTAAAAATAGCTGTGCAGTGTAACCTGGCTTTACCATTTCTTTGCACATGCCACAAGGACCTGACATCCTACTCGGCAGGTGCTTTCCTGAGCACATTCATTGCCGCCCTATGCACAATAGCTGGGAATAGAAATAAGTTAAATGTCCTTCAACTGACCAAGTGAATGGACAATGAAAGATGGTATGGGGCAGATCTAGTACCTCCCATATACTGTATGGGACGCTGTTCAACGGTAAAGCAAATAGTAAAAGGATGGAACTAGAGAAGACCATATTGAGTGAGGTAACCCAGACCCAAAGGTACAAACATCCGTACAAACATATTCTCTCCTGTTGAAGCAGTAGTTCCAATTCTTCAGATATGAGTATGTAACCTGGAGTAACTGCAGAAATCAGGAAAGCAGGAAGGGGCATTGCCAGGGTAGATGGGCAGGGAGCAATAGTGGTGGGAATAGCAGGTTATAAGTTATCTGCATGATGAAATGGGGAAAATGGGGGCATAATTAGGGAAGGGGAGGGAGACTAGTATAGAGGACAGAAAGAGGAGGGTAAAACAATAGTAAGGATGTCTAATAAAAGAAAGCATACTACTCACTATCCAAAAAATCCCCCAAAACACAAATAAAAAACATGTACAATGCATGTAAATCTATGTATAAATATTGTTATGGGATTCCCAACGGGTTCCCATTGCTGCTTCAAAGCCACCAAACAACACACAGAGACTCTATTAGTTACCATACTGCTGGCCAATATATAGGGCTTCTTACTGGCTAGCTCTGTCCTAAGTATTAACCCATAACTACTAATATGTATGTCTATCTCTGTTTTTATTTTTTGTGCTACACTCATCACAGAAACGTCTCTTTGCAACAGCTAGTGACTACTATAATAACACCACAACCAACCAAACTGGACAGTTGTAGAGCTCGGTTCCAATGGATACATCTATAAAACAACTCCTACACACAAGGCTCAGGGAACATTGTGGAACAAGCGTGAAAGGATTGCAAGAACCAGAAGATCAGGAAGTCTGCTGTGAGATTGTGTCTCTTAGTAATGACAGAAGCTATA